AAACCCAGCTCGTAGCAGAAGAGTCCCCTTCTGTTCTGAGCTTCGTGGCACATACCTGTAATCTCAGCACCGGGAAGGCTGAGGCAGGAAGATTACTGCAAATTTGAGGCTAGCCTGGGCTACACAGTGAGTTCAAAACCAGCCTGCACTGCATAGCAAGACCCTCTCTCAAGAAAAGAAAGAAAAAAGAAAAAAAAAAAAAAAAAGAAAGAAAGAAAGAGTGCTCTTCCACACTAGGAAATCTGGAAGATGACAGTCCCATCCTCTTGCCACTGCAGACTTTTCCTGTACTGGGAATTGAACCCAGAGATGCCCCTTGTGGCTCCAGGCAGCATGCTCATTTGATACGTTTGGTACATCGCTGCTTTTGCCCTTTGCAGCTCCCTGGGCTACATTCCCCTGATGAGGGTGGTGCAGTCAGTGCGGCATACGACGCGGAAATCCAGCACCACGCTGCGTGAAGGGTGGGTGGTTCATTACAGCAACAAGGACACCCTGGTGAGTGCGCACTGGGGCCCTTGGGTGGTGGCGAGGCCTGAGCAGGGGGCGGGCGTGTAGTCTCAGTGAGTGGAGTCTGGGCAGGGCTGCAGGCCGGGCTGGAATGAGAGGTGTACATTTTAACTATGGAATGAGGGCTGCTCCCAAGGAATGAGTTGAAGAGCAAGGCCAAGAAGGGGTGAAAGTCGGATGTAGTGGCCCGTGCCTGTAATCCCAGAACTTGAGAGGCTGTACCTCAGTACTTCAGGGTCACTGAGTTCGAGGTTAACCTGAGCTACATAGTAAGTTCCATTCTAGCTGAACTACTTTCAAAAAGGCTGGGGAGATAGCTCAGTAAAATAAGCGCTTGCCTGACAAGCACAAGGGCCTGAGTTCAATCCCTGATTCCACAAAAAAAAAAAAAAAAGGAGAAGAAGGGGTGGCGGTAAAAGCCCGAGTTAGAGAGGGGGCTAAAGTGAGAAGAAATGGAGTGAGGCCTTTATTTAATGAGAACTGACTGGGAGGTGATAAAGTGTGACCAGGAGGGATGAGGGGGAGACTCAAAGGATAGAAGAGGGCTTGCAGTGATGGGGCTGGGTCCGCGCAGGCACAGGCAGGAGACTGGTGTGGGGCACGGAAAAGGTCAGGAAGAGAGGCAGAGGAGCCCCGGCCGAGGGTGCCCTTCAATTAGAGGGGCTATGGGGTGGGGCTGGGTGGTGGGGCTAGACCTGGGAGGAGCAGGGTTATTTATAGTGGGTGGGGCCGGCTGGAGGGGGGATAGAACCTGGAGGGGGCCAGCGTTGGGGTGGAGCTTGGCTGGGGAGAGCCTAGGCCAGAAGGCAGTGCCCCAGGACACCGTGTCACCCTCGCTGTCCCAAACCTGTCTCCATCAGAGGAAGCGGCACTACTGGCGCCTGGACTGTAAGTGCATCACGCTGTTCCAGAACAACACGACCAACAGATACTACAAGGTGGGTCTTGGGGCCCCAGCTCCTTACATGGCCTCGGGTTAGACCACCCAGCTGCTGGAGTGGGTTAGACCACCCACTCGGCCTCTGGCACATTTGACTTCAGCCCTGCAGCCTTCCATCCTGGGGGCCTGGGAAAGTTGACTTTACCTCCCTGTGCCTCATCTCTCAGCTGGAAAATAAATGCCTCAAATACCAGCACTCACTTCTGCTGGGTGTGGAGCCCTGGCCTTTCATCCCAGGACTCTGGGAGCCAGAGTCAGAGAGGATCGCAAAATCGAGCCCAGCATGTGTCATACTTTAGCCACTTAGTGAAACCTTGTTACAAAATAATAAAAAGGGGGCCAGTGAGATAGCTTAGCTGTCTAAAGCACCTGCTTAGGCAGGCACAGGGGACCACAGTTTGATTTCTGTACCACATGCTGTGCCAGCCCCACCCTGAGGGTGGGCTGAGCTGCCCACCCCCCCCAAAAAAAATAAAACAAATAAAAGGTTAGGGAAATAGCTCAGGATGAAGGCTCTGGGTTCAATTCCCGGTATTAGGAAAACAGAAACTCCAGTGAGTTCAGAGATAATGGACATAAATAACTAGCTTAAGGCTCAGCCACTTCTGAGTGATACTGCTGTCCCAGCCAGTCTACGTGGTGGGTGCTACCACCAGGCTCCCCAATGGGTCTTCACAGCCAGTCCTTTTCCCCCCGTAGCTGCCAGAGGCTTTTCTTTTGTGATATCAAGGCATGGATGAACTATACAAGTCGTCTGCCACCGAGCCACACCCTCAGACCTTTTTTATTTATTTTTCTTTCTTTTTGAGACTGGGTCTTACAAAAGTGCCCAGACAGGACTCTAATTTGGTAATCCTCCTGCCTTGGCCTCCCAGTGCTGGGATTATAGACTTGCACCACTGTACCCAGTTGGGCTGAGGCAAGAGGATAGTCTGGTGCTCGATGTCAGTCTAGGTTACATTAAGGGACCCTGTCTGAAAAACTAAATAAATTGCAAAGCTGACAAGTTACCCAGGTTGGGCTTGAACTTGCAGTCTTCCTGGCTTAGCCTCTCTCTCAGAGCGCTGGGATTCCAAGCAAGCACCACCATCCTGGCTTTCTCGTTCCCTCCTTTGTCTTTCAGCGCTGTCCCTCCCCAGCCCTCACTGTGGCCCCTGCAGCTGCCTTCCTGGTCTCTTGTGTCCACTTCTTCCTGTCCCATTCAGCTATCACACAAAGCCCCAGGATGCCCCCCTTTAAAACTCTTCAGTACCTCCATGTGGCCCGCAGGCAGAGCCCAGGCTTCTTCTTGGGGCCCCCAGGGTGCTATATGGCCTTATTTCCTTCATTTATTCAGGGGCTTTTATCAGCACTTACTGTGTGCCAGGTGATATCCTGTGCAATGCGGGTGCAGCACATCCTTTGACCGCAGGGCCTCTACACCTGCTGCTTCCTCTGCTTCTTCTTTTTGCGGAACTGGGGATTGAACTCAGGCCCTTGCACTTGCCGCGGAAGCACTTATTCCACTGAGCCATCTCCCCGGTCCCAAGAACTGAGCTAAGGGGCAGGCCCCCTTCCTCTGCTTCTTGCATGATGACCTTCTTACTCTCGGCTCTCTGCTTCAGCCTCTGACCACTTCCTACAAACCAGGCCTTTCACTGACCCTGGCTTCTATGCTACCCGTGAGAGAGCAGGAGAGCCTCAGGGCCTGTCTGGAGTCCTTTCCTCATCTTCGATCCTTTCATGTCCCACCAGGAAATTCCATTGTCAGAAATCCTCTCGGTGGAGCCGGCTCAGAACTTCAGCCTTGTGCCACCAGGCACCAACCCACACTGCTTCGAGATCATCACTGCCAATGCCATCTACTTTGTGGGCGAGACGCCTGGTGGGGCCCCGGGTGGACCGAGCGGGGCCGAGGCCGCCCGGGATTGGGAGATGGCCATCCGCCAGGCCCTGATGCCCGTCATCCTCCAGGACGCACCCAGTGCTCCAGGCCATGCACCACACAGTATGTCCCTACCTGTGTCCCTGGGAGGGTGGATCCTGAGCAAGGGAAGAACCAGGAGGGAAGGGGGGCTCAGCTTCTGGACTCAGCAAACCCAGGTTCAAGCCTCTGTTAGGCCTCTGAGCCGCTGTGCCTACCACTCCTTTCAGAGCTTCACCCAGGCATTGATCAAGCCCCTTCTTTGTGCCCAGGACCTGTCTCATAATCTAGCAATCCCCTACCCCAGACAGTAATAACTCAGACGGGGCAGGACTGGGATGGGGAAGCCAGGGAGCCAGGTGTGTGTGACCCCACCTGAGTATTCAGGTGGGCCTCCTGGGGAAGGCCACATGCGTATTGGAACTAGAAGGCAAAACACGTCAGGTAGAGGCAAGCAGTGACCACAGAGTATCAGATTCCCACCTCTGCAGCCTGTTATCCAGTGTGGGTCCCCTACAAACAGCAGGGGTGTGCCGAGTGTGAAGGCGCACAGCTATAAACCCAGCACTGGGGGCAGCTGAGGCGGGAAGATCAAAAGTTTGAGCTCTGCCTGGGCAACTTAACTGTTTGTTTTTGGTTTTTTTTCCCATAATTTTATTGAGAAACAAATAGCAATGAGACAGTTTCTAACCAAATTGGTATAGGACAGTTTCAATAATTAAGCTTAACTTTTTGAGACAGGGTCTCACTATGTAGTGCAGGCTGGCCTTGAGCTTTCTAGGTAGCCTGGGTTGACGTCAAACGTGTGTTGATCCTCCTGACACAGCCTCCCCAGTACTGGGATTACAGGTGTGCCACCAATTTAGACTCTGTCTCAGATATTCAGACAGTGACCAGGGGCTATAGCTCAGTGTGAATACCCTGGATTCTGACATTTGCTGGGGTAATCTGACATGGGCCAAGGAGCAACCCTGGAGCCAAATGCAGGATGAGGATTTATCATTCCTGGGACAGCACACGCAGGGGCCGGGCTCAGGCTGCAACAGAGCCTGCTGTAGTTGAGACCTAGCAGGGAGGCAGTGTGATGGGAAACACAACAGAGGCTGCAATCAGAGGTGGATGAAGAGCCGGACTGGGTCTTTAGGCCACTGAAGGAGCCCAGGCTTCCTCCTGAGGGCACTGGGAGGGCTGTGAGATGGGGAGGCACAGGGCAAGGACTGTGCTGTAGCAAAACCCTTCTGGTTCCTGGGGAGGGTGGACCGGAAGGGGCAGGGCTGGGGCACAGAGAGCAGGGGAGAGGCCAGGAGTGGTGAGCTGGGCCGGGCGGCAGTGGAGAGGTGGAGTGGGGCACAGTCAGGCCCTGGGGGATCTGAGGTCTAGGGCTCACGTTCAGGGCAGGTTGCTGGAATCCCTTTAGACGTTCCCTCTAAGCCTCAGTTTTCTTCTCTGGAAAATGGGATCCATATGGGTTTCATGGCAGAGAAAATGGGTAAAATGCTCAGTGTGTGGTTGTTAGGTCACTTTTTGGGGGTTAGGGGTCATTGGAGATGGAACCCAGGGCCTTCCCAGTGAGCTGCATCCGCTTCCCTTGCTTAAATTTGTAATTTTGCTGGGCATGGTGGTGGGTGCACACCTGTAGTCCCAGCACTAGGGAGGCTGAGACTGGAGGATTGTCAGGAGTTCAAGGCTAGCCTGAACTATGTAGAGAGATCCTGTCTCAAAACAAACCCCCC